AGCCTCAGGGAATTGTTTTGTGTTGTCTGGCAATCTGTTTAATTTTTGTTCTGATGATTGTCTGGCGCCATCAAAATAAAATCAGTTTGTGCTTTTTAAAGCCCCCAGTTGTGGTCTCATCCTTTCCGGCATCCCTTCGAACCTCTTATTTTTTACATCAGGACAGGGGGCTAGGGAGGGGTAAGTGGAAGGAGGTGAGGGAGGAATGGGGTACGATTCCCTGATGGGGAGGACTGGGGTGGCTCTGTGGGCTCCTCGGGGTAGAAGCTCTCCTGCAGGTCCTCCTGGATCCTGACAGCCCCCCAATTGATCCCCCCGGATGGCAGCCTGCGTCAAGTGCAGCCAGGCTGATGGCCGAGTGCTGTGATGTGCCGAGTGTGGGCACTCAGGGCACTCCAAGACAGGACTGCTTTGCTGTCCCTCATCGAGGTAGACAAGCAAGTGGGGAACCCTAAGAACTGTCTGTCCAGGGTGGGGGTAGGGTCCCTTTAAGCACAGCCCTCAGCTAGCCTGAGGCAGCAGCTCCACACTCTAAGTCCTAACCTGATGCCCTGCCAGCACTGGTTCTGGCCAGCCTTAACTTCAGTTCAGGTCCACTCAATGTGGACATGCTATTTCGAATTAGCAAAACGCTAATTTGAATTAGTTTTTAGGTCTGGATGCACTAATTCGAATTAGCTTAGTTCGAATTAACTAAATCGAATTAAGTTAGTTTGAATTAGTGCTGTAGTGTAGACATACCCTAAGCTAGTAAAGAAGAGAGGATAGACATTCATAGAGTACAGGTAGGAACTGAAACAATCAAACTTTCACTTGCTTGAGCATCTGAGGAAGTGCGCTGTAGCTCACGAAAGCTTATGCGCCAATATCCGGCCTAATCAATGTTTTTGTCTTTAAAGTGCCACCAGACTCCTTGTTGTTTTTATGTATATGTATGAAATCTAGTGCCTGAGGTTAAATGAAGATATTAGTAAAACAGGCATCACAGAAAGTTGGTGGAATAACGATAATCAATGGAACATGGTCAGGGCTGCTGACAGGGCAGGCAAAGGAGTCAGCTACCCTGGGGCCTCGGGTTCCCAGACACCGCTGCTACTGCTGCAATAGCAGCTGGAGCTCTGGGGTCTTTAAATTGCTGATGAAGCCCCAGACATTGTGGTCCAAGCAGCACAGAAGGGCTGGTTTAGACAAGCTAGCCCCTAGCTCCACCCTCCCCCTTCTGCCCACGGTCCTGGCCCTTCCAAGAGGGCCCAGATTCAGTTCCCCCTCTTTCCCAGGGGCCCAGCATTTCTGTTCTTGGCTCTGGACATGGCAAATACATGGGTACAAAATATATGGGAATGACAGAGTAGGTCATGTTGGTGAGGGAATGGCACTATATGTACAAGAAATGAGAATCCATGATAGTAAAAATCTTAAATGAATCAAACAGAACCATAAAATTGCTATGGATAGAAATTCCATACTTGAATAATAAGAGTTCAGTTGTAGGAATATACTACTGACCACCTGGCCAGGATGGTGACAATGACTGTGAAATGCTCAGGGAGATGAGAGAGGCTACAAAAGCAACAACAAAATCAATAATAATGGGGATGTTAACTATCACCAAGTTGTCTGGTCACTTCAGAACACAACACAGAGATAAACTTTCTAGACACCATAGAAAAAT